ATTCCTGTTAATCATGAGCACGTCAGCAGCCTCACGAGCAGCTAGCGTGGCTGGGGACCTTTATTTAAAAAAAAAAAATCCCAGAGAGTATCAGCAGCAAAATGAATGAAGAAAGAACGTCCTCTTACCAGGTTCTGTACAAAGTGCTTAAACGTCACCTGACAGACTGTGACAGGTGCTGGATGGAAACCTGGATCAGGACCAGAACAATAGGATCTTTGGACTCTAACAGCATAAAGACCTTCTCATAAAGACTTACTCCTACACAAAGTCTTTAGGCTATGTGACCTCTGACCTTGCGCAGCAGCGAGCGGTCAAAGTTTCCCAGAGCCAGCGTGGCGGCCTGGCCGGCCCTCAGCACCCTGCAGGCCGAGCGGTTCCTCTGGATGCTGCCCACCTTCAGACGCAGGAAACGGCCCTCGTCAGTCGGACCGACCACCAGCCGCTCGCCTCCCGACACACTCCGCTGAAACACACACAGACATTTATTGCAGGATTACGATCCACTGGGCCTGATCAACCGGATCAGGCACCACGGAGGGTGCCAGGATCACCACGGCTGGCGGGGCGATCGCTCAGAGGAGAGTAAAGAGAGCTGGGATAGGAGCCACGCTGGCCCAGCTTGGACTAAATTCTGCTCCTGAAGGTCTGGACAAAATGGGACTCATATCGACCAAACAACAGAATTCAGAGACTGTTGTGCCCAAATCGTTACAGAGACCTGCTCCATCAACATCCAGGATCAAGCACTCGGCAGGTGTCATAGCTGTCAGCACAAGACTCCGGCCAGATGAGAGGAGGTGGGCTTTGCGTTTCACATGGATGATGCTTTGTGTTCAAATGCAGTCAAGATGGACTCTGTTTCCCAAATGTCAGACTGTTTATTGTGAAGATGAAACTCTTATTATCATGTGGTTGCTGCTGTTTACATTCACCCCAGAGGAAAACTGAAAAAATGCAGTGCAGAATGTTCTGGGTGTTTACGTGTCTGTATATATGTATAAATAACTGTATATATTGTTTTATTTTATTTTATTTATTAAAAATGTTACAATATTTATAAAACAATTATAACTTCATTCTCAATATATTCACTTTTTTATTCTCAGAATCTCAGATTGTGTCCCTCTCCGTGGCTCTGCTGTGCAAAGTAAGTCTTATGAAAGGATCCTAAACTGCAACGGGAATTTCTTTGATAACAGAGATTATTTGTCGGATTGATTATCAGACAAACTCAGATAAATAATAAATAAATAAATAATGATTTCATCCTTTAAGACATTTTTGTTGTTTTTGTTCTGTATTTAGCTAAATATTCAGAGATTTGAGGATATTGCCTGGACTTAATACATATACACTGGCAGGTTTATCACATGACTGCTGACTAAAGTATACAGATAATATGATCTGTGTGAATGTGTGAAATACGTCCAGGTCAATGACAGGATTAAAAACTAAATAAATTTCAGACTTTTTTTAACATCTTCCAAACCTTGAAAAACTAATCAAACCTTTCTAAACCCTTATATGATGTGTGTTGTTTTCTCACCTGTATAGAGTTCCTCCCACCACAGTCCCGACGTCAGGAACCGAGTAGATCTCATCCACCTGCAAACACACACACACAAAGGAAAAGGAAATCTCCTATCAGGTCGGCCGGATCAATAATCTCCTTTCAACGTCTCCTCAAAGCTGCACTTCTATAAACCTGCTCTGGGGTTTTATCTTTTAACACAAACAGTTTTATTTCAGAGAATTTCAGTTGAATTTTATTATTAAAGAGGTGGTATTCTGCTTATTTTAAGGTTCATAATCCTATTTAGGGGTTGTACCAGAACAGGTTTACACATAGTTTTTGTCATACTGCACATTGCTGCAGCTCCTCTTTTCACTTGTGTTGAAGGCTTAGTTTTAGCTATGTAGTGATACATCTTGTCTCGAAATGATCTTTGTTGGGACTTGCACATGCGCAGTTCCTAGTTAAGGACTACTAGCCAATCAGAAGCAGAGAAGGGCGGGTCAGTGAGAAGACAGTAAACAACTTTGGTTCAGCTGTACATGTTGCCGACCAGCTTGGCAACATAGACTGGAACAAGAGTTTCAGAGTGGTGAGTTATTAATCTGTAACAAAAGTATCTTTCATCCATAAAGTTTTAACTGAGCTCTGTCTCTACATCACAGTAACAACTTCCTGTCCACTGACTGCCTGGAGGGTAGCTAGTGTTTGGAAGGGAGAGGAGAGGTGTGTGCTGCAGCTCACTGTTTCTGAGGGCGTGTCGGAGTAGCCGCTTGGCGAGTGTTCTATGAGGCGCATTAAGCTTTCATCCCTGTGACGTCACAGGGATGAAAGCTTAATGCGCCTCATATAAGGGAAGTGGCTGGACTACAAACGAGCTGTTTTCAGGCAGTTCAGAGCAGAGTTTTCTGTGGGAGATGGGAACTACCTTTGGGCTGGAATTTGGGCTTTTTCATTTTGCAAACCTGTTACATGCACAAAAAAGGTATACTCAATAAAGGAGAGGGAAAAAGCCAAAAAGCAGAATATCACCTCTTTAATGTACTAGGGTTGGGCCGACAGACGATGCTATCGTCCATCGGAGATAGCTGACAGATGGTCAATGGTTGAGTAGGCATCGTGATTGTAAAACCCCACCCCCCGGCATTTTATTTTTCACATAATACCGTGAAAGCAGGTTTTAATCACCACAAATATTATTACACATTTTAAATATGCTTCGCACCTTCCTTGGAATTCCTTCCTTCTCCCCACACACAGACACACACGTAGGCTACCGAGTTTTTAACCGAGTGAAGTCTGCGAGTGAACACATGCACATAAGACGACCGCTATCCCTCCCCCTCGTCCATCCCGATGTTTCAATGTAGACATTATCCGATGGAAATTTTGTAGACATCGCCCAACCCTATAATGTACAATAATTATCTTTTTGTTGTCTTTCAATCTTTTATTTCTACTGATTAATTTTTCCTTTATGTGAAACACGTTGTAGTTAATATTTAAAAAAAAAGGTGTAATAAAAATAAATATTATTATAAATCAACCAAAGCTCACACAATCACATAGCAGCAGACTTTTTATAAAAACCTTTTCCCAGTCTTATCATTCATGGCTACGTCTGCAAATGGAACACGTTAGAAACACTGACTTGTAGCGTAAAAGATGGTGAGTTAAATCACATTACAAGTGCACGTGCGCGCACACACACACACACACACACTTGTACTTCTGTCTTTCTGAGGACTGTCACTGACATTGGCTAGTGCATTTCCTGGACCCTTACCCTAACCATCACAACTACAATGCTGACCCTAACCAAAACCTAATTCTAACCTCACCCTTAAAACCAAGTCTTAACCTTGAAACAACCCTTTGAAGTTGTGAGGACCGGCCAAATTGTCCTCACTTCCCAAAAATGTCCTCACTCTGTTGGTTAAACGCGTGTTCCGGTCCTCACTATGTTGCAAGTACAAGTGCGTGCGTGCGTGCGTACCTGGAACTCAGTCAGCTGCTGCATCAGCTCCTCCTGGTCCTTGCTGTTGCTCAGTGGAGGGAGGATGTTCAGGAAAACCTTCAGGAGGTCCAGACTCTCTCCAGACACGCTGGACAGGGTGAAGATCGGCGTGATACTGCACACACACACACACACACACACACACACACACACACACATGGAAACCTTAATCATACTGACAGGTGTTTCTAATATTTTGTCCACTGTTGTATAAGCAGTGTCTGTTCATCTAAAACTGACCAGCTATTATTTCTGTAAGATGATGAATCCTCAGGCCCTGATCGTGTAAATGAGTGCTCTGATAGTGATGATGCGTTCAAAGACTCACAAGTGACACGTGTTTAAGCTCATGTATATTTCCCGTACTTCATCTAACTTGTGTTGTTGTGTGTTTAGTTTTTCTTTGTCAGGAATGCAGGTTTTGTTGATACTGGAGGTGTTTCTGGGTATTTAGATTATCCATCTGACAGATGTTAATCATTGTTGGATAGTGTCTATAATAGTGCATTAAGATTTATGACTGGAAGTAAAGCTTCTACACACCGTTGTTCCTCCTGTTCAAAATGATAAACTGGCCTTTATTATCAATGAGGAGGCACATACGAAGGAATGAGAAGCTATAGATTGTTGTCACTGTCAGACACATTTCCAGGTTGCTATTATTGCTGACATGGTTGTGTTTTGATAAAGATGGACGGCAACACAGAGGCGATCTTTGAATGGCTAGAAAAACACTGGAGCATTTGTAGCGGTATTTAAGAAACAGCAGTAGTTGTACTGAATCAGTATCAGTAGTATTTGTATTCACCATGCAGACTGAGTGAACTGCAGTAGTAGTAGTAGTAGTATCAGTACTATTTGTACCCACCATGCAGACTGAGTGAACTGCAGTAGTAGTAGTAGTAGTAGTAGTATATCAGTAGTATTTGTACTCACCATGCAGACAGAGTGAACTGCAGTAGTAGTATCAGTAGTATTTGTACCCACCATGCAGACAGAGTGAACTGCAGTAGTAGTAGTAGTAGTATCAGTAGTATTTGTACCCACCATGCAGACTGAGTGAACTGCAGTAGTAGCAGTAGTATCAGTAGTATTTGTACCCACCATGCAGACAGAGTGAACTGCAGTAGTAGTAGTAGTAGTAGTAGTAGTATTAGTAGTATTTGTACCCACCATGCAGACAGAGTGAACTGCAGTAGTAGTAGTAGTATCAGTAGTATTTGTACCCACCATGCAGACTGAGTGAACTGCTGTGCGGCCGTCACAGCGTCGTCGGGGCTGGACACCACCATGGGGACCTTGTTGCAGCCCGGCTGCTTCAGGACTCGCTCCAGCTGCCGGACGGTTCGCTCCACGGTGCCGCGGGAGCACAGGTCCACTTTACTGACCACGATAAAGATGGGAACTTTCAGCGCCATGGCCAGGCCCAGGTGCTCCCTGGTCGTACCGGCTGGAGGGAGGAAAGCAGGAACACTGTGAACATGCTGACATCGAAATAAATCATTTCAATAGGAGAAAATTTTAATAATCTATGATTTAATTAATTAAGTTAATGCGACTAAGCTATGCAGCATAAAATGGATGGACGCTCTGATTCTAAATGATTAATTAATTAAAGCTAATTTAAGTTATTCTGAGTTGATGAGCTCCTGCTGGAGCTGCAGTCTGACTGAACAGCCTCCTGCAGCTCAATCCACCGTCACAACCGTCGCTTACTGCTTCTCTTGTTAAAAAATACAATAACATAAATTCTCTGATTCCTGCTTGTTAAATGTGAATATTTTCTGTTTATTTCCTCCTCTGTGAAGGCAAACTGTGAATACCTTGGGGTTGTGGTCAAAACAAAAAAAAAGGCTTTAGGAAACACTTTTTTTGTGACATTTTATAGACCAAACAACTGATCGATTTAATCGACAGTGAAAATAATCGTTACTTGCAGCCCTGCTGTAGATACCCTGGAAAAAGAATAATTATTGTACAATAAAAAGAGACCAGAGCTGCACAAATCACGTGACTAATCGATTTGCAGATCGACAAAAAAATAATCTGAAAGTACTTTGACAGCAAACAATGCTGTGGCTCTAGCTTTTCAAATGAATATCTTTGGGTTTTGGACTGTTGATTAGACAAATTAGTGAATTAGTCTCTATTTGTCACTATTGGCAGATGTTATTTACAACCGTAATTGCCTCAAGTGTCTCATATATGAAATAACCATGTGATAGTTTGCAGGTGTGAATGAGAATTAGAATCACACTTGTGAACTCTTTAAAACATGCACAGTCTGCAGACACAGTGTGAACCAGCTTTGAATCATCTTAAAACACTGATCGCTTCTGACCTCTGGTGGTGACTTTCTTTTTTCTCCTCCTGCACTCTGTCTCACGGTTTTGGGGTTTTTGTGCAAGTATTTCCTGTTTTATTTTGGTAAACCTCTTTCCTTCCTGTGTGTGTGCTCCCTGATGGTTTAATATGTTTCACCTGTGTCGTATCATCTTATCCTCACTGGTGTATTTAGTCTTTCTGTCTGACTACGTTCCAGCCAATCCCCCCTCGTTTCATGTGGACTTGCTTGGATTTTAGATTTCGATTCTTTCCCCCCCTCCTGTTAGATTTGATTGCTTATGTTGGACTGCTTACCTGGTTTTTCATCTCGGACTGCTTTTGTCCCATGAGACATTATTAAATCACTAAACTGAACCTGCTCGGCCTCTTTACTGAGAGCACAGTAGGATTGGGTATCGAGAACCGGTTCCAAATTCCAAGAACCATAGATTCGATAAGACCCGTGTGTTTGGATTCTGCTTATCAGTTCCTAACTAGCCATAAAGGGGAAGATGAGCGAAGAAGATGAAGGATCACCAAGCGCTGACAAAAAGATCTGTGGTGAAAGAGTTGGTCTCAGAACCGAGATTCAATAAGAACCGGATTTCATAAGTTGTAATATAATAACTGGAATCAGAAATGATAAAATACAAACGATACCCAACACTAGAGCTGAGGGGGACTTCCTCATTTTGCTTCAAGAAATCATTTAGAACTAAAGCTGCAGACACTGTATGGTTCCATATATGGAAAGATGTCAAACACAAAGCTGAGAGCTGACGTGGTGTCAAGCTGGGCTACAGACTGTTCTGACTGTTGACAACAGTCAAAAAAGATAATGTAGATAATGTAGATAGATAATGATGGATTCACAGGTTTAGTTCAGTTAACTGATTAGTTGATTGACAGAAAATGAATCGCAACTATTTTGTCTAATTGAGAAATGAGCTGCAGCTCGAAACAGGATTATTGAAGAATTTTGATAAAGGGCACTGATTTTATGCCACACTGTCTGACCCTGCTGTACACCACTATACTGACAGGCGTTTTCACCGTAGAAGAATGCCTCGCGTCACACACGGTTATAAATGTGCTGATGTTGCTGCTTCCTGTACGTGAAGCGCGGCTGCTGCTCACCGATGCCGGTGTTGGCGCTCACCACCAGCATGGCGAAGTCGGGGCAGTAGCTGGTGAGGCCGAAGATGGTCGTCTTCAGGTACTTGTGGTGTCCGGCCAGATCGATGAAGGTGATCATCTTGGAGGAGCTCTCGCAGATTTCCTCGGCTGTCCGGGACTCGCTGTAGTTCACAACCTGCATTGATATCAGCCCGCGTACTGTGTCATCGGGTTTTTAAAATTCTGAAGATATTTTAATTACATTGGATTTCACATACTAACACTAAAGCTAATATCATCTCCCTCTCTCCATCCTCGGCTTTCTCACCTCCCCTTTGCTGTTGAAGCCCAGGATCTCGAAGCTGATGCTGGAGGTGCGTCCCGTCTGGATCTCGTGCAGGTGTCTGAAGAGGTTGAGCCGCGCTCGGCCTCGGCCGTTGTCCAGCTCGCCCTGTGTCAGGACGCCCAGCAGCGTCGACTTCCCCGAGTCCACGTTCCCCAGAACCGCCACCCGCAGATCCAGGAACTGTCCCAGTCCAAAACAACATGACGGAGGAGAAGGACTCATAGTCTCTAATATAAGTCTGTTTACATACAAGCAAACTCAGATAAAAAAATTGACGTATTTGCGACCCTTCCCCAAAAGAAAATCTTTGTGATTTCAACATGTAAACAAAGAATTCTGGTCCTCTGAGAAGAGAATAAAGTTTTTTTTTTAACTGTTTCCACTTCAAAGACGAGATGGCTGCAACATTGTGTTTATTTTAATTACTATTTTCCCAAGTGTTTCCCCTATGTGTACAAAGCTAAACTTTCGAAAGAATACTGGGAGAAATTATAACTATTAGATATGGGAAAAGGCATCTAGCTAGTTTTGATGCTCTCCTCAATTACTTTATATTAACCCTGTTAATATGACCTCGGCCATTAGATAGGACCGTCCATGTTTGCCTTTTGTGTCTTAATTTACAGCTTTTGGCATTTATCTGTAATAGCCTAATTAATATAAAATATAGGCAACAGGTAAGACCAAGGATATTTCTTCACTCCCTTCAGTAAAATTAGCAAACATTGTATTTTGCACATTAAAATCCAAAAGAAACATCTCCTCATCAGCTTAAAAGGACTCGTTTGCAATTACGCTGCTCTTATAACAGCACCTGTCAGGTAGAAATCCGTTAAAGAATAAGGAGAGAAAGCTAGCCAAGCGTTGAGTGTTACCGTGGGAAATTTAAGTAGTGGCGCTCCTCTAGACATCCCCCTCAAAATAAAAAACTCCTCGGATCTACACGATTCATGTGAATGACATATTTTGATAGAAAATGGCGAATTTCACCGAAAAGTGACATGTTGTGTTTACAGGGCCTGCAGCTGAGCTAAATGCCATATCATTTAATCCAGGACCAGGCCACAATGCATCCCTCCAGTTATCACTCTGGGGGGAAATGAAATAGAGGTTGTTAACTCCTATAAATACCTGGGTCTTTTGATTGATGACTCCCTGACTTTTAAGCCACGTGCTGTACCTGGTGAAAAAGCTGAGGCTAAAACTGTTTTTTTATTTTCGAAATAAGTTGTTTTTCTTTTAATGTAAAAAAAGTTACTTGTGGCCACCACTTTTTATCTGTTCTGGACTGTGGTGATTTTTTATATATGCATACCTCTGCACAGAATCTTCATATGATTGATACAGCTTGCCATGCTTCCTTGAGGTTCATTTCAAATTGCAAAGCGCTGACTCACCACTGTGAGCTATACTCTCAGGTTGGATGGCCTCCTCTAGCCACCCGAAGGCTATGTCATTGGTACACTTTCATATATAAGCCTATTCTGGGTCTGCTGCCAAGCTACCTATGTGTTCATATCATGCAGAAAAGTAATGGGCGACACTCTTTGCGTTCTCAGGACTTCTTTATGCTCTCTGTGCCAAAGATCCGTATGGAAACGGGAAAGAAGGCATTTCTGTATTCTGCACCTTCAGCATGGAATACGTTGCAAAAGGACTTGAAACTCACTGAATTAATCTCGCTAAACACATTCAAATCAAAAATGAAAGACTTAGAGGCAGATGCCTTAATATGTAAATGCTCTTAGATTGTAAAAATGATTTAAAATTACTTGTAATGAAATGTTAGCTTACTAGTCTCCTGTGTTATTTGTCTGTACTTGTGTTTGTATTTTGTTATATGCTGCTGCCTGTCTTGGCCAGGTCACCCTTGCAAAAGAGGTTCTTAATCTCAATGTGACTCTCCTGGTTAACTAAATAAATAAATAAATAAATGTTGGGGTCATTTTAAATATCATTACAAACCTGTGTCTGTTTTTTTTCCTTCATGGTCCGACTCTTTTATTCTGATCTGAACGAAGAGAACGCTGTTGGGATCTGGATGATTTCAAATTAAATAAATAGTTGCTAGCAGCTCACCGCAGAATGATTTGGTATCTGACATGGACGAGACTTTTGGACCTAGACAGACAGCTGGACAGACAGGACCTCCTTCTTGGGTTTACTTTATCCTGCGTTTTGCTTTTATTTGTTCTCCATGAACAGAAACTGAACCAAGAGGAAAACGCAATGACTCATCCCCTGATTCAGGCCAGAGAACACAAACTAAAGGTTTTATATACACACAGCAGGGAAACCAGAACCTGGGGACAGAGTCTCACCTGCTGATCGTCAGGAACTTTTCGAACCAGGACTTCTGCAATTTTGCGGGTGTTTCTGTCTGAGTCGTAGTCCACCTCCCTCTCTCTGAGGAGAGTGATGTCGGCACCGACTCTGACGAGACAATGAAGTAAAGCCTGATCACACAACATCCTCGAAACGTGTTCTAATTGGTTCGGGACCCGTAAACTGACTGATAAACATTTTATCTGCTGCATTGTTCTTTTTACTCTCTGGTAATATTTATGTAAATAAAACTACCAAGAAACAGGCCGCATTAAATGACACTGTTCAATGCTGATGGTGAACAGGTGAAATTCATCAGGCTGAAACAAGCAATAAACAACAAGTTCGTCCAGTTCAGGGAGTTCGGTAAATCCGGCAAACCTCAAAAGTTCAAACCCCTAAAAGTTTAGGAGAAGAATACAGAAATGGTCTTGCATGAGGCCAGGTGTTTCTCTAACACACATGTTTCATGTATTTTATTGTTGTTACAGACTCTTTAATCAGGTGACCTACTTCTCTGCCATCCTCTTTAAGGTCTTGAGCGAGGCCTTCATGTCAGCCTCGGTCAGGCCGACCAGCAGGCCGTTGTCTTCCACGCCAATCTGATAGACGGCCTCGCCGCGGCCCTCCTGCAGGCGCCACTTGAGCTGCGTGGCCAGATGCTCGAAGCGATACTGAGTGGGGTTAACCAGCTTCAGCTACGACAGCAGCAGAGACAGAGATGCATAATGGTACAGGAGCAGAGCCACAGAGCTCATAGTTTAAACAACGCTTTACCTCAAATTATTAAAAGTAACATTAGGCTGGTGGCCAAACAAAAAATATGGTGTCTGCAAGGTTCAAAGATAAGTTAAAGACTTTAAAAGATATTTTAATAACTAACAGAATGAAATACCTGCAGGCTTATGTATACCTGTTAATACCTGTTTCATGGTCATACTGAACCAAGTGTATGGACTATGAGGCTTAAATGATTTACAAAGTGCATTAATGTACTGGAATTTATATCACATTTTTGTCAGATCTTCCCAGCAGTATAATAACAATTATGGCTGCAACTAAAGTCCCCTCCAAAAGTATTGGAACGGTAAGGCAAATTCCTTTGTTTTTGTTGTTCACTTAAGACATTTGGGTTTAAGATCAAAAGATGAGTATGAGACAAGAGTTCATAATTTCAGCTTTTATTTCCTGGTATTCACATCTAGATGTGTTTAACAACTCAGGAAATATCACCGTTTGTATTAGACCACAGCATTCTTAGGTGAGCAAAAGTAATGGAATAAATAATCTTAAAGTAAATAACTTGCAATAACTGCCTCAAGCCTGCGACCCATCCACATCACCAAACTGTTGCATTCTTCATTTGTGATGCTATTCCAGGCTTTTACCGCAGCTTCTTTCACTTCTTGTTTGTTTCAGGGTGTTTCTCCCTTCAGTCTCCTCTTAAGGAGGTGAAATGCAGCTCTATTGGGTTACGGTCAGCTGATTGACTTGGCCAGTCTAAAACCTTCCACTTTTTCCCCTGATGAAGCACTGTGAGATAACTGTTGTTGTGATTTGGCGCTATATAAATAAAATTGAATTGAATGAAGTCCTTTGTTTTGTTGGCAGTGTGCTTTGGCTCATTGTCCTGCTGCATGATAAACTTCCTCCCCATTAGTTTCAATGCATTTCTCCGTAAATTACCAGACAAAATGTTTCTGTCCACTTCTGAATTCATTCTGCTGCTACCATCATCAGTTACATCATCAATAAATATTAATGAGCCTGTTCCAGAAGCAGCCATGCACGCCCAAGACACGACATTACCGCCACCATGCTTCACAGATGAGCTTGTATGCTTCGGATCATAAGCAGTTCCTTTCTTTCTCCACACTTTGGCCTTTCCATCACTTTGCTAGAGATTAATCTTGGTCTCATCAGTCCATAAGATTGTGTTCCAGAACTTTTGCAGCTCATCTCTGTACTTCTTTGCAAATTTCAAACCGGCCTTCCGTTTCTTTGGCTGATGAGTGGTTTGCATCTTGTGGTGTGGCCTCTATATTTCTGCTCTCTGAGTCTTCTTCCAACAGTGGATTGTGATACCTTCAGCCCTGCACTGTGGAGGTTGCTGCTGATGTCACTTCCTGATGTTTTGGTTTTCTTCACAGCTCTCACGATATTTCTGTCATCAGCTACAGTTGTTTTCCTTGGCCGACCTGTTGCTCAGTACACCAGTAGTTTCTTTCTTTTTCAGGACATCCCAAATTGTTGTGTTTGCTATGTCCAATGTTTGTCCAATACGATTTTCCTTCATTTCTCAGCTTGACAGTGGCTTGTTTTTCTCCCATAGACAGCTCTCTGGTCTTCATGTTGGTTTATCCTCTTTAACAGGAAATGTAGTCTTTATAGGTTTGAACCAAGAAAACTTAGACTAGTCATGCAGAGCTATTTAATGTTTGGACAATCAAGCTAAAAGGCAACACCTGGGTAACAAGAAACATCAGTCAGTCACATGTTCCAATAGTTTTGCTCACATGTGAAATGGGTGGATTCAAACAAACAGTGATATGTCCTGAGTTGTTTAACACATCTAGATGTGAATTCCAGGAAATAAAAGCTGAAATTCTGAACTCTTGTCTCATACTTTTGATCTTAAACCCAAATGTCTTCAGTGAACAACAAAAACAAAGGAATTTGCCTAACCGTCCCAATACGTTTGGAGGGGACTGTATCAATTATTTTTAATATCAATTCATCTGCTGATTATTTTCCACCTCGCTAAATCAGAGCAGGGAATGAAGAGTTACCTTGTACTCAATGTTTCCTTCTTCTGCCTGGAAATAGAAGAAAAGACGACAGATGAGGACAGTTAAACACGATTAATGTCAAAGAGACAGGTTTAATTATTTTATACAATATGGACAAAAAGTATGTAGTAACTAATCACATACTTTAGTGTATTTTCTGTCTGATTCTGTTTCTGTCTGTACTGGACACAGATGAAACTGATTTTTTAACATTCCCATTTTTAATCGCCCAAAAAATAAAAAGCTGGCTCATATATCACATCATTGTCAGACACATTATGTGTATTGGATTCAAATGTTATGAACATTTTCTAGTAATAATTATAATTCTATTAATTCTGGGTATCATTTAATATGTGATACATTCAGCTGTAGTAACTTCTTTTATATTTTAGACAGTTGCCAGAGACATGGTGATAGACTAAGTGAGAATATGTTTTTAGCTAACACCACAGCC